AACCCTAAAACATGACTGAATGTCCATCAATACCTTATACACTGTCGATTATAACCAATCAGTACATGTGAATTCCCTTACCCTAAAACATGACTGACTGTCTATCATTACCTTATACACTGTCGATTATAACCAATTAGTTCATTGGAATTCCCTTACCCTAAAACATGACTGAATGTCTATCATTACCTTATACACTGTCGATTATAACCAATCAGTTCATTGGAATTCCCTTACCCTAAAACATGACTGAATGTCTATCATTACTTTATACACTGTCGATTATAACCAATCAGTACATGTGAATTTCCTTACCCTAAAACATGACTGAATGTCTATCATTACCTTATACACTGTCGATTATAACCGATCAGTTCATGTGAATTCCCTAACCCTAAAACATGACTGAATGTCTATCATTACCTTATACACTGTCGATTATAACCAATCGGTTGATGTGAATTCCCTTACCCTAAAACATGACTGAATGTCTATCATTACTTTATACACTGTCGATTATAACCAATCAGTACATGTTAATTCCCTAACCCTAAAACATGACTGAATGTCTATCATTACCTTATACACTGTCGATTATAACCAATCAGTTGATGTGAATTCCCTAACCCTAAAACATGACTGAATGTCTATCATTACCTTATACACTGTCGATTATAACCTATCAGTTCATGTGAATTCCCTTACCCTAAAACATGACTGAATGTCTATCATTACCTTATACACTGTCCATTATAACCAATCAGTACATGTGAATTCCCTAACCCTAAAACATGACTGAATGTCTATCAATACCTTATACACTGTCGATTATAACCAATCAGTACATGTGAATTCCCTTACCCTAAAACATGACTGAATGTCTATCATTACTTTATACACTGTCGATTATAACCAATCAGTACATGTGAATTCCCTAACCCTAAAACATGACTGAATGTCTATCATTACCTTATACACTGTCGATTATAACCAATCAGTACATGTGAATTCCCTAACCCTAAAACATGACTGAATGTCTATCATTACCTTATACACTGTCGATTATAACCAATTAGTTCATTGGAATTCCCTTACCCTAAAACATGACTGAATGTCTATTTTTACCTTATACACTGTCGATTATAACCAATCAGTACATGTAAATTCCCTAACCCTAACTCATGACTGAATGTCTATCATTACCTTATACACTGTCGATTATAACCAATCAGTTCATGTGAATTCCCTAACCCTAAAACATGACTGAATGTCTATCATTACCTTATACACTGTCGATTATAACCAATCAGTTCATGTGAATTCCCTTACCCTAAAACATGACTGAATGTCTATCATTACCTTATACACTGTCGATTATAACCAATTAGTTCATTGGAATGCCCTTACCCTAAAACATGACTGAATGTCTATCATTACCTTATACACTGTCGATTATAACCAATCAGTTCATGTGAATTCCCTAACCCTAAATCATAACTGAATGTCTATCATTACCTTATTACCTTATACACTGTCGATTATAACCAATCAGTTCATGTGAATTCCCTAACCCTAATACATGACTGAATGTCTATCATTACCTTATACACTGTCGATTATAACCAATCAGTTCATGTGAATTCCCTTACCCTAAAACATGACTGAGTGTCTATTATTACCTTATACACTGTCGATTATAACCAATCGGTTGATGTGAATTCCCTTACTCTAAAACATGACTGAATGTCTATCATTACCTTATACACTGTCGATTATAACCAATCAGTACATGTGAATTCCCTAACCCTAAAACATGACTGAATGTCTATCATTACCTTATACACTGTTGATTATAACCAATCAGTACATGTGAATTCCCTAACCCTAAAACATGACTGAATGTCTATCATTGCCTTATACTTTGTCGATTATAACCGATCAGTTCATATGAATTCCCTAACCCTAAAACATGACTGAATGTCTATCATTACTTTATACACTGTCGATTATAACCAATCAGTACATGTGAATTCCCTAACCCTAAAACATGACTGAATGTCTATCATTGCCTTATACTTTGTCGATTATAACCGATCAGTTCATGTGAATTCCCTAACCCTAAAACATGACTGAATGTCTATCATTACCTTATACACTGTCGATTATAACCAATCAGTACTTATGAATTTCCTAACCCTAAAACATGACTGAATGTCTATCATTACTTTATACACTGTCGATTATAACCAATCAGTACAAGTGAATTCCCTAACCCTAAAACATGACTGAATGTCTATCATTACTTTATACACTGTCGATTATAACCAATCAGTACATGTGAATTCCCTAACCCTAAAACATGACTGAATGTCTATCATTACCTTATACACTGTCGATTATAACCAATCAGTACATGGGGATTCCTTAACCCTAAAACATGACTGAATGTCTATCATTACTTTATACACTGTCGATTATAACCAATCAGCACATGTGAATTCCCTTACCCTAAAACATGACTGAATGTCTATCATTACCTTATACACTGTCGATTATAACCAATCAGTACATGTGAATTCCCTAATCCTAAAACATGACTGAATGTCTATCTTTACTTTATACACTGTCGATTATAACCAATCAGTACATGTGAATTCCCTTACCCTAAAACATGACTGAATGTCTATCATTACTTTATACACTGTCGATTATAACCAATCAGTACATGTGAATTCCTTAACCCTAAAACATGACTGAATGTCTATCATTACCTTATACACTGTCGATTATAATTAATCAGTTCATGGAAATTCCCTAACCCTAAAACATGACTGAATGTCTATCATTACCTTATACACTGTCGATTATAACCAATCAGTACATGGGAATTCCCTTACCCTAAAACATGACTGAATGTCTATCATTACCTTATACACTGTCGATTATAACCAATTAGTTCATTGGAATTCCCTTACCCTAAAACATGACTGAATGTCTATCATTACCTTATACACTGTCGATTATAACCAATCAGTTCATGTGAATTCCCTTACCCTAAAACATGACTGAATGTCTATCATTACTTTATACACTGTCGATTATAACCAATCGGTTCATGTGAATTTCCTTACCCTAAAACATGGCTGAATGTCTATCATTACCTTATACACTGTCGATTATAACCAATCAGTTCATGTGAATTCCCTAACCCTAAAACATGACTGAATGTCTATCATTACCTTATACACTGTCGATTATAACCAATCAGTACATGTGAATTTCCTAACCCTAAAACATGACTGAATGTCTATCATTACCTTATACACTGTCGATTATAACCAATCAGTACATGTGAATTTCCTAACCCTAAAACATGACTGAATGTCTATCATTACCTTATACACTGTCGATTATAACCAATCAGTACATGTGAATTCCCTTACCCTAAAACATGACTGAATGTCTATCATTACCTTATACACTGTCGATTATAACCAATCAGTTCATGGGAATTCCCTTACCCTTAAAAATGATCTAATGTCTATCATGTCTATACCTTATACACTGTCGATTATAACATACTAGTAACCAATCAGTTTATGGGAATTCCCTTACCCTAAAATATAACTGAATGTCTATCGTGTCGGATTCTGTAGTTCTTCATACACAATTCTCGTAATTCGAACTTTGTTTTGAAAGGCTTTATATTTCAAAGGAAATGGTGACCATACAGATTTTTATAAAGATATGCTTAAAAAGATGGACAAATTAAAGAAAAGACGAAACAGTAGATATAAAGATATAAGAACAATCAGACCCCACTAAGGTCAATCATACATCTGGAGGTTGAATTCTAGTTTTAATATGATTTAAATATTGACAACTTGTAAAATTTATTAAGACTATTCTGCCACTTTTTAGGAGTGAGCGCATGATTTTTTTTTATCTAAGGATATGTCATAGACAAAGAAACGAATGAGTGAATACTAGAAAACTTTCACAATCCATATTGTAAGGTTACTAAAAGTTTGACGTTTTCTACACATTTTTTTCTATTCCTATTTAATTCAGTACCTATACTGTTGTTTGTCTTGCGGTCGTTTTTTCTATTTCCTCCATGGCGTTATCTGTTTGTCATCGACTTATGAGTTAGAATATCCATTTGGTATCATCCACTTCTCTTGTCCATGATATCGACCTAATATGTCCTGCTATCGGAGAGCTTTACAGTACTGTTCTTTATTGTGTAATTTGAGGTGATAAAGTCAAGATTAAAAACAAAAAAATGAATAAATAGAAAAAAAAAATGCTGAAAAAAACAAAATCTACCTAGTAAGTGATCATTATCGTCTCTTGTGTAGACTGATATGATTAGGTTGTGAAAAAGGTAATTTAGTTGTGTAAAGAAAATTTAAAAGATTGGTTACATCAACAAGAATATGAAAGCAAACCATATACAGATAGTATTAACACAACAGGCTCACTTATGCCATGCTATGTAACAATATGATGACAATCGTGGAATTTTAAGGGGATTTATTTTAATGATGGTTTGCAGTCACTGCATAAAGAAATGTCAGACTTTGATTAATAAGTAAAATTTGTTAAATTTCAACGGTGTTAGAGATGAATTTCTATTTAAAAATACTTATTTCACATCACGGTTTGTTTATTTTGATGAAAGTAAGTAAAAAACAATAAGAGTAAAAAAAAATCAGTCTTAATGAAAACCTCTAAGCCACAGGAAAACGTATTTGATTAGATTACCATGTTTGTTAGTATCACCATAAGCAGTGTTACAGTGACTTTTTCCCCTGAGCAACGATGTACCATATATCACAATATTTTACCAAAAATTACCCGTCTAGAAAATGTATAACTACAATGTGCATCAATCTGATGAACGTGTAAATTTGTATGATGTTTATAAGACACTCTTCAATACTTCTGTGTTAAATGATTATTGACAAGAAGAGATTTAAGATACGGGAAAATCTTACCTTATACAATGCGATATTCCACAGTATTTGTCGTCTTCTATTCCTAGTCAGTGTTTGGTAAATTTGTTTGTATTATTATTGTCAAATTATCCGGTACGATTGTTTGTAACATATAATTTTCAAGCCAGGATCTGTGTTTCCGTACAAGTCCTTTCTTAGACTCGTATACAAAGTGGTTTATTTCAATGTAGAGATTTTTTTCTGATTCAAGCCATGTTTGCTGGTTACTTGTTCTTTGTTTACTGGTTTCTTGTCCATCGTTTACTAGTCATTTGTAAGTCATTCCAACCATAATACTTACATACTGATTCTATCCAAGACTTATTATTGATTGGTACAAATCAGAAAACAAATAGTATTAATTGTCCGGTGAATTTAACGCAGCTTCTCAAATCAACAACAACCTAAGCATCCAATCGATCCAAAAATCCTGGTGCTATCGACGTTTTATTTGTCAGTAGGTTTTTTTAATTACGTCAGTAACCGTTCATTTAACAATCTAATACGATATGTATGGATTTCATAGAGACAGTTTTACATCCTCCGTTATTCCCATGAAATCTAGAATGGTACAACGATTGCTGAACAATATGGACTTCGTTGTGTATCCAAATTTAGTACTTAAAAATATAACAAACCAGTGACAAATGATATGCTCACTGAGTTTTAAAAAACTTCGAAGTATTTATAAAAACCCAATAGTTATAATATAAAAATATGGAGATGTGGTATGATTGCCAATGAGACAACTATCCACCAAAGTTCAAATGAAGTGGATGTAAGCAACTATAGGCAACCAATGAGAAAACCCCATACCGTATGGTCGGCAATAAAAGGCCCCAACATGAAAAATATCAAGTAAGATGATAGTATCTTTTTTATCTGATAAAACGAGAAATCTGATGTTCTGCCGCTCTTACATAAGATGTAAGATAACCAATATATTCAATACATTACTCAGGATTAACAGTAACTAACTGTTTTTGTTGATCATTCATTGGTATGGTACTCAGGTCTTGCTTTTGGGAGATATTTGAGTATTGATTTTCAAAGAAAGGTTTCGTTTTAAAGCACATCTGAATTATTTTGCATTTAAGTGCAAATTTCCACAGTGCATTTGTTCATATCTATGAAATGTAGAGGGGGAATTTATCGAAGGAGGCTACTCCCACTGCTGATTGTTCCGTTGTGTTGTCATTTGTCTTTGACTAACACCAGAAATTGACATAATCCCGAAATTCAGCATTTTAATTTATTTTTTTCCACGCCATATTATCTCGTTCTAATATGAAGTCTAGTTCGCACAAGAAAGATATCTTATTTACACAACCTGTTATTACTCATTTATCGTTATATAGTGTATATAGGCATGGAATAGACAAATAAAGTAAAATAACGTTTTAGGCTTAAATATTGGAATATAAACAGTTTTACTGAAAATAAATATTTTTTTGCTGGGAAAATTCTATTCTGATTTCGATTCCTTGAAAAGACAAACAAACGTATCACAAAACAAAATACATTATTTCATGCTCAGAAAACTGAATTTGGACCCTTTCATAAATACTATCTACGACCTTCGTCCATCCATACGGGTTTATTTTTCACATTTTCAACTTCTTTTAAACAACTTGATCGATTTAAACTAAAATTGGCATGGGATGCCCTCTAAAATTCATATATAAGATGTTTTTCTTTATCTGATAATTGACAAGTTTTTAAACATTTTCACCTGATAAGTAAAACAATAGATTTTATGACGTCTCTTTTACTCACTTGTTGATGACTGCCTAACAAGTATGCATCTATTAAATGGTACATACATCTATACTATTAAATGAGAAGACCTCATTTTGTGTGTCGCTTCTCTTCCTTCCACAATAAATTAATCATCGTGCCTCTGTGTCCTATAGGTATCTATCTATACTATTAAATGAGAAGACCTCATTTTGTGTGTCGCTTCTCTTCCTTCCACAATAATTTAATCATCGTGCCTCTGTGTCCTATAGGTATCTATATATACTATTAAATGAGAAGACCTCATTTTGTGTGTCGTTTCTCTTCCTTCCGCAATAATTTAATCATCATGCCTCTGTGTCCTATAGGTACCATGCATAGTCGCATTTGTCATCTATTCTAATGATTATTCAGTTTGGGTTATTTTGGGAGAAAAACGAAAATAAAGGAGTCCGGATATTGTTTCCGTCATCGGACGGACTTTTAAGTCATAGACAAGACTTCTGTTTAGGACTTAACTGGCCACCCGCTGATTGATACTTCGACACAAACTGTGTAGATTAGAGCGAAACAACAGCAGGGGTCCAGTTAAGTTTAGGACTGTTTTAAAATACACATAATTTTCATAAGTACTCGGGGACAGGACAATTATTTTCGCGTTTATCTGCATGTATACTATGATCATACTACTATAAAATATAAAGATTCTCTATATAATATATCAGTGACCGCCGTGGATGATAAATTTGGAATTGATAGTAAATAGCAAATACACTTTATTTATGATAAACAATTATGTATGTTCATGGTATACAGAAAACCCGAAAATAATTGAAATTAACAGAAAACAAAAAAAATAACGGACTTTATTAAAAAGGGAGCGGGCCAGAAAATATTGTCCTGTCGCAGTACCTATGACTTTTGATACCTTTCCTGAAATTCTCCAGTCATAAAATCTTTTACAAAAATTCATCCTACTACAGTTTACATACTTTCAACCACGCTCTAAATGCCCGCGATTTCGCGGGTGTGTTCTAGTACCATTGAAACCAAATAGAAAGTTATTTTTTATATTTGAAAACAGTACAAAATATCATTCTAAACCCACAATCAGAATTATTTCGCATGAATAAAAAGAGATATCAGGTGTACGTCAAGAAAACTGCCACCCAAAAACAAAAACAGTAAAAAGACATCTCAAGGTCAACATACAGGCATCCACAAAAGACGGGTATCTATACAATATGTGAAGTGAAAAAATAAGTATGAAAACATCAAAGATCTACAATCATTACCCAATTCTGAGGAAATCCTTTCACGAACCAAATATATCTTGCATGATGAGTTAAACCCAATGCACAGGGATCATTGTTTATACTTGTAAATTAATTATATTCTATTGCATGGCGCACACATTAATGCATACTTATAGAGTAAGTAATTTTCAAAATGGAATATTTACATAGTAATTATGATAGAATACATACAATTCAAGCACAATTATTTCCATCCTTTATATAATCATATTGATATAAATTCAATATATTCATTAAATATGTCTCTAACATGTATATGAGAATCTAAACTCACTGCGGAGACATTGCAAATACAAAATCAATTGATAGTATTCATATAATGTACATGTTTTATGTAAATAGCAAAGATAAAATAACTTATCAGACTCGGCCAAATTAATACGGCAATGGTTTATAGTCACTTCACGACAATATACTTTTGCATTTCATTTCATTATATCAACAAAATTGATTGGTCTGAGAATGAAATAGCATTTCGATCGAAATAAAATTCAGAACATCTTAAACACAGAATTGCCTATCAACTATGATCTATGATTGATGATAGAACATTCATATCAAAACAAATCCCATTTTAATACAGCGCTTTTTAAAATAGTTCAACGTTTCACTAATGTAACCTAATACTACGGAAGCCCATAGAGGACCTACAAAAAAATAATATTATATCGTTATCTCAATATATATATATCGTTATTTCGATTTAATTAAATCGTTATCTCGATATATTTATATCGTTATCACAATATTTATATCGTTATATCGATATATTTATTTCGTTATCACGATATAACAATAACCGGTAGACAGTAATATAGGATGATTTATGTGTATGTACTTTTAGCTTACTTTCAGTAATTACATGGTCTTATATTTTATAATACGGTACTACATTGTACACTGTATCGCTTTTAGGTATTTACTATTGTCGATGACGTCTTAAATATCTCAAGCAATGATTCATCTGGAGTCGTTAGATGTAATTAGATTGTTCTATCAAATCAAATTTTGACGAATTTAAAAAAGGCGGAAGATACCAAGAGGACAATCAAAACTCATAAGTCGAAGAAAACTGACAACACCATGACAAAAACTGACAACACCATGACATGACAAAAACTGACAACACCATGACAAAAACTGACAACACCATGACATGACAAAAACTGACAACACCATGACAAAAACTGACAACACCATGACAAAAACGATAAACGACAAAAAGACTAGCAAATCTACAAAACACTACATAGTAAACTAAATACTGAGGAACACGGACAAAAACAGGGGATACCCTTGGGTGCTCCGGAAGGGTTAGCGGCTACTACTTCACATGTAAAGTGGGTTTTTTCCTTCGATTTATGTAAACTTTCTTCATTACAATATTAAAATAGTAATAGTAATTGATACTATTTTAATATTGTAATGAAAAATGTGAAACAATTCAGCTGAGAAAACTAACGGCCTAGTTCATAAAAAATAATTTACGAAAAACAAATAGGACAGACATGAACTAACGACAACCACTGAACTACAGGCTCTTGACTTGGGACAGGCACTTAAAGAATGTGGCGGGGTTAAACATATTTGTAAGCGCTAACCCCCCCCCCCCCCCCCCCCCCCCCCCTAAATCTGGGACAGTGGTGATAACAGCACAACATAAGAACAAACTATAAAAATCAGTTGAAAACTCATCAGATCATTAATGTTTGTTAATTACAATTTATAAATCGTGCTGTATACACAATAATAACCATTAATTAAGTAATACCAGTAATGAATTAAGTTTCATACAAAGAGATACTAATGTGATTATAACGATGAAAAAAAGCAATATAGAAAAAGCAAAATGCACTTTTCCAACACGAGCTAAAAGATCCGGATAATCATTCAGAAGCATTCATTTACATAATGAAACTTAAATGGCTTTTGGTTATTTTTATTTTTAAATTGGTTAGGTTTATTGAACGTATGGTTATAGAAATTAAATAATTCCCAACACTATTATTATATCATCAAGCCTACTTTAATTCAATATGTTCCCCAACCCTTTAACGTAGACCAGATTTAACAATATTGAAGAAACATTTCCTCTTTTCGTTCTTATAAATTTCATCTTTGAAGGGGTTAACAATGTCTTTTTGGTCATTTGGCTCCACCTGTTTCGGTTCCTTATACATCATTGGCTTTCAAATATTTAGCTTTGACCGTTCCTGATAGAGGCTAATCCAGAAAAGCTATTTTCATTTTGTTATAATTATGTTTCCTATGGTACCACCAGCCTAGTAGTCAGCATTTTTGTGTTTAACATGAAATATCACTTGTTTATTCCATATTGATAGAACTTTGGTAGGTTTTTCTATATGAATTGGAT